AAAAAGAAAACTAAAGAGGCTGTGAGATGAGGTGAGACCATTTAGAGTATGGTTGTGATCTATTTTGCGTTTGGCATTGGCAGGGTGAGGTTCAATTTAGACATTTGTCGGGTTTTGGTTTAGAGCTCTTTTCGGACGGGATTTGCACGATTGTTTTGGTTCGTTTGAATTACACTGTTATTCTTCTTGCGTGTCAATACTTCTAGCCATTATTACCCATACCTGTCATTACAACCTTGTGATAAACCCTTTGATGTTTGTGAATCTATGTTCACTCTTGAATAGTTGGGCGTGATGCAATGGCAAGCTTATGGTAAAGATTTTCTGTGTTGTGACTTGAGCGTTTACTTATATTTATATATCTTTAGCCTATACACTTGGAGAGTTTGAGTGAACCTTGTGAGGTGTGTTGATCCTCGTTGCATTTCATATTGATTGGTTGTTGAGAATATGTGTCATTGATGTCAGTATATGAGGATTTCAATATAACTTGTTTTCTTGTGTGCAAAACGATTTTGAATTGGCAAAGGAGAAGGGAAGGGTGTGATTACAATTTGATATGATGAATTAGGCTTGATACTTGAGGGCAAGCATCGTTCAAGTGTGGGGTGGTTTGATTCGTCGGAAATCGTGCTTATATTAATGGTCTAATGTTGCATTTGTGCACGTTTAGTTCTCCACATTTATGCATCTTTCGACTTATTTGACATTATTATCAACTCTCGTGCCTTGATGAATTTTTGAGTGATTTTCAGTACTTTTGGAGCTATTTTTTGTTGCACGAAGAGGTGTGGATGTTCGGAAGAAGGACGAAGTAGTGTTATCAGCGAGTACGGGGTCGTCCCGTACTGACCCAGCTATCCCCGTACTGACCATCAGCGGCCCATATTGTCTCAATAGGCCCATGCATTTCACGTATATGGCAGGAGAATTAATCCAATTGGGCTGCGAGCATTAAAGTTGAAATGGGCCTAAGTTAGAAAGATTATGTTGACCAGGAATTAATTAAAGGATAGAGACGTGAGATATTGGGAAAAGAGGATATATATCAATTTGTTTTGATGAGGAGAGATTATTATTCATTCTTGGACCGTGGGACATTAATCATCTTTTTTGGACATTGCGGCTGGGAACAGAGGCAGAGAAAAGGATCGCAAGTCAAGAGCAGCAACAAAAAGCTTTGGAGAATTAGAGAGAATTTCTTAATTTCTTTTCTTTTTCTTTTCTTGTGTAATTAATTCTATGAATATGTTTTTGAACACTATGAGTGAGTAGTTTCTTTAATCTAGTCCCGGGGAAATCGAACCCTACAATTGACTATGTTTTGATTGATTTTTATGGTTGATGAATTCAATATCTTTTTGGAATTGCTTGTGTTATTTTGAATAATTAACCATGATGTGTTAGTCTTGTTTAGATTGATCACCTAGATTAGGCTTTTCATATCTACATCTGAATTAGGCCTGCAATCCGTAATTGTTGTTGTGTTTAATTCATAAGAGGTAACCGGAAGATGGTAACTACCGGGGATAACACGGCCTAATTAAGTGAACGAACGCGGTTGAGTTCACTAATTAGTCTAGCCTATTTTTCTAAATCGTAAAGCGGCTAATTGTATTAAATCTTGAAAACGTTTTTCTGGACTGTACAAGAAGTCAGGTTTAATCGTCGAGCGTCTCGCGGTTAAATTAAAAATAAGGAAAAATCCGGGTAATAGACCGTGTCGTTACCTAGGGCTAGTAATTCCATGAGATAGCGAAATCTGATTCTAAAATTGATTAGACGAGTCAATCGAGGGTGTAGACGGAACCGTGGACTAGATATTTCCCCATTTATTTGATAATCATCTTTATTTGCTGCATTTGATTTCATTATATTATTCATATTTTTAGTAGTTAATTAATTCATACCAAAACCCCCTTCTTTTATTAATATTTTCATGATTTCAATTAAAGAGAATAATTACAATTAAATTCTACACTCCCTGTGGGTTCGACCCTTGCTCACTACTACTACTAGTTGGTAGAAGTCGGTTAAGGAAAATAAATATTATATTTTGACCGTGTCGCGACGCGCGGTCAGTTAATATATATATATATATATATATATATATATATATATATATTTACATGCAAATATTTGTTTTTTAAGATAATCATTGAAATGATTCGATCTAGAAAAATACAAGGTTATAGAGATGTTATTTTAACGTATTAGAAATATATTATAAATCTATATACTCATTTTTTTTATTTGTCAAAAATATTTGCTATGTGCTTTTTTATTTTATTTTTTGAATTAATAATTTGCATACATGTTCAATAGGCGCACTTGTATCGTCTTCACTCGTTTCCCCTTAAGCATGCACCAGAGCAATTTTAGCTCAACCTTTTGAACTAAGTGCCGGTTCTCGTACCGACCGGTAATAAGATAGACGATCATCCGCTGCAAGTATCGTAGTGCTGGGTTGCGAATCTCCGCACTTTTAGACGACAATCGGGAGAAGTCCCGAGCATTGGTAATAGCCAACCACGCTTCCTCGTTATCCATCTCAACCTCTTCGAGCGCATCTTCGGGTAGTCCGAAAGCGGTGGCGAAGTCAACGTCTCGCCACGTATACTCGACACCATCAAGACAGAAACCATACAACCCATCCCCGTCCTCCTTTCTCAAAGATCGAAAGAATTCGCACGTAAGGTCTTCGTAGACGGGCCAGTCTCCCGTCATCAATTTTCTCCAGCCCATCACATCAACGAGACGATAGACCTCGGTGTGTAGCCCGAGCTCGACCAACAATCCATGGTCAATATACGTGGTGGGCTTCAGCTCTCTGGGAATCGGGAGACCTCCGGGCCTGTGACTTCCCGCCCGAGCCCGTTTAGGTGTAGGAGCGTGTGCCGGTGGTCCCGAGACCTCTGGTGAGGCTCGGGTTCTCTTGACGGGCGTCCCGGATGCTGTCCGGGGCGATACTCGGGTAGGTTCCGTAGCCGGTGACTCGGTAGCAGTTGCCAGAGGTGGACTCGATTGGACCGGAGGCTGCCTCGGTTTAACCGGGGGCTGTTTCTGTGCCTTATTCCCCGATGTAGAAGCACGTGTCTGAGGGCTGCCGGCCAATGGCTTTGTGGATGCGGCCAGTCGTGTAACGGGTGGGGCTGTTCCTACATGAGTTCTCGGCTTGGACGGTTGCTGTGGCTGAATTTGTTGCACTGTGGGCTGTTTCGGTTGAGCCGGGGACTGTTCGGAGGTGCCACGTGATGGTCGATTACCGTTTGTGGCTTTCGTCTGTGAAGAGGAAGCGGCCACTCCAGACGACTGCGTCCTCCTCGGAGACCCCTTGACAGTGAGATCAATGAACTTCGGGGAATCTGGGTTAGTGTACCACCCCATTCGGCGAGTGTGCCGGCGTTGTTCGAGTGGCACGTGTCTGAGCGGGTGCTTCGGTGGTCGTGAAGGCTGTTGGGCTCGTGACCTAGGTGGGGCCGGTGGTTTAGGCGAAGGGTTTACCGGATTTGAGGCGGAGGGCGGCGTCGACTTTGACGGAGCCCATGTTGGTTGCGGCGATGTGGGCTGAGACGACACTGGCGGCGGTGACTTGGGCGAAACCGACGCTGGTGACGTGGGGTCCGTCGTCGATAGTGGCGTCGTGGTCGCCGTCCTGAGCACCGATGGCGAAACAGTTGGTGCGGACGGCGTGGGAGAAAAGATGCACGGAGAACCCGACGGCGATTTGGGCGGCGGCAGCGGAATAGGCGGTGATGGATCCGCTGCCTTAGGGTCGGCCGATTGCGAAACGGAGCTTAGCGGCGCGTGTGGCAGAGGTGCGGGTAGTGGTTGAATGGTGTCAGACGGTGGTGGGTTCGCCGATTGCTGGACCGGCGGCGAAACAGGCGGCGAGTCAGGCGGCGACTTGGGCGGCGACTCGTCATCTTCCACAGGCAACCTCGATTTGTAAGCTTTCCGCTTAATTCTCACCATTATCTCTCGATGTTGATGCTCAAAATTTCGAAACAAGAAAGCAAGTTTGGTTTGCGAATTTCCGCTCGAAGTGCTCAAAAGTGTTCAGATCCTTCTGGAATGAATGAAAGTGACGCCCAACCCCTTTTTTTTTCTCTCTTTTCTAGCGTGAGTCAATGGCAAGTGGGCTGCCTCATTTGGTATTGGGCCCTTTCCTCTTCAAATAATGGGCCGCTCAACCTTTACGTTGCAAAATTCCAACACCTTTAAACTATCAGTCTTGGCCCACTGAAACTGCATCCTCCCAGCAACCTTTTCACTAATAGCCTGCACCAATAACACAAANAGTAATAATAATAATAATAATAATAATAATAATAATAATAATAATAATAATAATAATAATAATAATAATAAGAATAACAATAATAATATTGGGTTGCCTCCCAATTAGCGCCTTTTTTTAACGTCGTTGGCTCGATAATGTACTCCCCTTTAATTTGACTGAGAAGTGTCCAGCCGGACTCGTTCCACGTCATTAATTTCAAGTTCTCCATAATACGGCTTGAGCTTGTGGCCGTTCACCTTGAACTTCTTGCCTGTCGTAGGGCTAAAAATCTCCACTGCTCCATGGCCAAAAGCTTTCACAATGACAAAGGGGCCTATCCAACGAGAGCGTAGCTTGCCCGGGAATAACTTTAACCGAGAGTCAAAGAGTAACACCTTCTCACCCTCGACAAAATTCTTCCTCGAAATTTTCAAATCATGGAAGGCCTTCGTCTTTTCCTTGAAAATCACCGAGTTCTCAAAAGCCTCATTTCTTACTTCCTCGAGCTCTTGCAGCTGCAACTTTCTGTGGCCTCCCGCATCATCGAAATCAAAGTTGCACTTCTTCACAGCCCACCAAGCCTTGTGCTGTAGCTCGACCGGCAAATGGCAGGGCTTTCCGAACACCAACCGGTAAGGAGACATGCCGATTGGAGTCTTGTAGGCCGTTCGGTACGCCCACAACGCATCCTCTAACTTAATGCTCCAATCCTTCCTGTTGGGATTCACCGTCTTCTCCAGGATGGACTTAACTTCTCGGTTCGACACCTCGGCCTGACCACTTGTCTGAGGATGATAAGCCAGTGAACAACACCATATTTTCTAAGCAGTGCCTCCACTGTCTTGTTGCAAAAGTGTGTTCCTCGATCACTGATCATTGCCCGTGGAATCCCGAACCTAGAAAAAATGTTAGATTTAATGAAACCTGCAACAACCTTCGAATCGTTAGTCCGGGTGGCCTTTGCTTCCACCCATTTCGAGACATAGTCCACCGCAAGTAAGATATATTCATTACCAAACGAAGAAGGAAAAGGGCCCATGAAATCAATTCCCCAGACATCGAAAATTTCACAAATAATAATAGGGTTCTGGGGCATTTGATTCCTCTTAGAAATGTTACCTGTTCGTTGGCACTTATCACACGACTTACAAAATTCATGAGCATCTCGAAAGAGTGTAGGCCAATAGAATCCACTCTCCAACACTTTATGAGCTGTCCGTCTACCTCCAAAATGACCTCCACATGCGTGTGAATGGCAGAACGAAAGAATGGAGTGGAACTCGGCTTCCGGGACACAACGCCTAATCACTTGGTCGGCACAATGCTTCCAATGGTACGGGTCGTCCCATACATAATACTTAGCGTTGCTCCTGAGCTTATCCTTCATGTGGCTCTTCAGACCTGTAGGATACACTTTAGCAACCAGATAATTTACAATATCAGCATACCAGGGTTCGAAAAAATCCGACGTCGCATTTCCTCGATCTTGTTGTTCAGCTACAGCACAGTCGAGTACGGGGGTACCCTGTATTCCTGCGAAGGTACCCCGTATTACTGGGAACTGCAAGTTTCCAATGCCCAGCAAATGCTCGTCTGGGAAGCTCTCTCGCAGCTGAAAGTCATCCGAAGCATGTGTTACTCGGCTTAAATGGTCAGCCACAGCATTCTCAGCTCCCTTTTTGTCCTTTATCTCCACGTCGAATTCTTGCAACAAGAGTATCCAACGAATAAGCCTCGGCTTTGCTTCCTTTTTCGCCAAAAAATGACGTAGTGCTGCATGATCAGAAAAAACAACTACTTTAGTTCCCAATATATATGAACGGAATTTTTCAAGAGCAAAAATCACCGCCAACAATTCTTTTTCAGTCGTGGTATAATTTTCTTGGGCGGGATTCAATGTCTTTGACGCATAATAAATCACATGTGGCGCCTTATCCACTCGTTGGCCTAGCACTGCTCCTACAGCATAGTCGCTTGCATCACACATTATCTCGAACGGGAGATCCCATCTAGGTGGCTGGATGATTGGAGATGTGGTCAGCTTCTCCTTCAGCAAATCAAACGCCTTTTTGCAATCTTCGTCCACCCGGAATTCCACATCTTTTTGCAGCAATGAGCACAAAGGGGCAGCTGTCTTCGAGAAATCCTTGATGAACCGACGATAAAACCCTGCATGGCCAAGAAAAGAACGCACTTCCCGAACACTCGCGGGGTAAGGCAAAGCAGTAATGATATCGACCTTAGACTTATCCACTTCAATACCTCGCTTAGAAACAATATGTCCCAAAACAATACCCTGTTCTACCATGAAATGACACTTTTCCCAATTAAGAACAAGATTCGTTTCAATACATCATTTTAAGATTAAAGCAAGGTTCTCGAGGCCCGAATTAAATGACTCACCATAGACACTAAAATCATCCATAAATACCTCTATTATATTGTCGACGTACTCCGAAAAGATGCTCACCATGCACCTTTGAAACGTGGCAGGCGCGTTACACAGTCCGAATGGCATGCGTCTGTAAGCGAATGTCCCGAACGGACACGTAAATGTGGTCTTCTCCTGATCCTCGGGTGCAATGGGAATCTGAAAATAACCTGAATAGCCATCTAGAAAGCAATAGTAAGAGTAACCTGCCAATCTTTCCAACATCTGATCAATAAAAGGTAATGGAAAATGATCTTTGCGAGTCATCGCATTTAACTTACGATAGTCGATGCATACCCTCCACCCGGTCTGTACACGAGTGGGAACCAACTCACCTACCTGGTTCTCAACCACAGTCACACCCGACTTTTTTGGAACCACTTGCGTCGGGCTCACCCACCGGCTATCCGAGATCGGGTAAATGACTCCAACGTCCAGCAATTTGATAATTTCATTCTTCACCACCTCCATCATAGGAGGATTCAGCCGTCGTTGTGCCTCTCGAGATGGTTTAATGTCCTCCTCGAGAAGGATACGGTGCATGCAAATGGACGGGCTTATCCCACGCAAATCGGCAATGGTCCAACCGATTGCTCGTTTGTAATTCTTCAATACTTCAATAAGGGCCGCCTCCTGGTCGGGTTCCAACTTCGATGACACTATCACTGGGAGTGTTCGATCATCTCCCAAATACGCATACTTCAAGTGGCTCGGTAAGGATTTCAGTTCAAGCTCCGGTGCCTGCAAAGTAGAAGGAAGAATTTTCTTATCAGGCTCAGGTAACCGAATAAAATTTGTATCATGCTTTCCAATATATGGTTTTAGTGTATTCAAGGCTGTTACGGCCTCATCAACAAGCTCCAGCTGGTAACAAAATTCGGTTTGGTTGCTATCTCTCTGTAGTTCGAGTATGGGGTCGCCCTGTATTCCTGGGCAGGTACCCTGTACTGCTTGATTTTTGTCCAAACCTTGTGAAATCACAAACTCCAGTTCATCTTCCCTGTAAGTGTCGAGAAACTCTTGTGCCAATGGTTCAATACAGTCAAGTAAATAAACAAAATGGTCAGAGTCAGGAAATTTCATGGCATCAAAAATATTAAAACGAATAACATTGCCATCGAACTCCATTGTGAGTGTGCCTTCACGAACGTCGATTTTCGTTTGAGCGGTGTTCAAGAACGGCCGCCCTAACAAAATTGGGGTCGATATAGGAGTCCTGTCATTCATACTCAACACATAAAAGTCAGCGGGGAAAATAAGCTCATTAACTTTAACGAGAACATCTTCAATTACCCCATCCGGAAAAGTAGTACTTCGGTCGGCAAGTTGAATTACCACCCGAGTTTCTTTAAGAGGACCCAAATTTAAGGAATCAAAAATAGAGCGAGGCATAACATTAATTGATGCTCCCAAATCGAGCATGGCTCGCTCGATTTTTAAATTCCTTATTGTGCATGGAATCGAAAACATACCTGGGTCGCTTCTCTTTTGGGGTAAATCCTTCTGAAAAATTGCCGAGACATTCTCTCCCATCAGAACCTTCTCATTCCCTTGCAGCCTTCGCTTGTTGGTGCATAGATCCTTCAAAAATTTTGCGTATCGAGGGACTTGCTTGATTGCATCAATGAGAGGAATATTGATCTCGACTTTCTTGAACACATCAAGAACCTGCTTCTCAGCGTCTTACTTTGCTGCCTTTCGTACCCTGAATGGAAACGGTAGAGGTTCGGGTTTCAGTGGAGGGAAAATCGGACTGCCCATGCGTCTTTCATTATCAGCAGACTGAGTACAGGGGGTCTCCGTATTCTGCTGCTCGGCCCCATATTCTGCTGACAGGCCCTCTTTTTCACTTCCATTCTTCTCGTTTTGAGTCTTTGGGGCTTCTAATTCTTTCCCACTCCGCAGGGTGATGGCACTGACATTTTTAGGGTTCAACTCAGATTGAGATGGAAGTCGGCCCCCGAGTTGTGCATCTAGTCGGCTCATATGCTCCGCCATTTGACTCATTTGGCCTTCTAAGTTTTTGATGCTCATTCCTTGGCTCTTGATATTCAATCCCTGATTCTGGATGTTCATCTCCTGATTTTTTATGCTCTCTTGAACACCCTGCTGAAAGGTCATGGAGCTAGTTGCAAGCGTCTTGATCATCTCTTCTAGGGAAGATTGTGGCATGGAGTTCGGTTGACCATTACCCGCTTGTCGTGGAAAATTTTGACCTCTTTGAAAAATTTGGGGTGGCCGATAATCTTTCTCCGCATATACTCCCCCTGATGGATTTCCATATCGAAGGTTGGGGTGATCTCTCCAACCGGGATTGTAGGTGTTGGAGAAAGGGTCATAGTTTCGGCCCGACCCATTGTTGGACCCTATCGCGTTCGCTTGTGCCTCCACCTCGCCATTGATTGGAGGGCAATTGTCCGTAACGTGATCAGTCGTCTCGCAACGCATGCAAGGTTGCACCCTCGGAAAACCTTCTGTGGCCAATTTTCGGACAAAACACGTCAACTCTTTAACTTGAGACTCCAAAGCGCCAATACCAGCCTCATTAACCGACTGAAAAGATGCTTCTCGAGTGCCAAATTGCTGGGAGTTCGCTGCCATATTTGCTATCAAATCCCTTGCGGCCGTTGGTGTCTTGTCCATAAGAGTGCCTCCACTTGCCGCATCGAGCATGTTCCTGTCCATGAGGGACAACCCCTCGTAGAAGTATTGGATTAGCAGTTCCTCCGTCATCTGGTGCTGAGGACAACAAGCAATGAGTCTCTTGAATCTCTCCCAATACTCGTATAGCGTCTCTCCATGCAACTGCTTAGCACCACATATCTCCTTACGCAAATTTGCAACTCTCGATGCCGGAAAATACCGTTGGAGAAAAGCTTTCTCCATATCAGCCCACGTGGTGATGGACCCCGACGGTAAGTAGTATAGCCAATCTTTGGCTCGGTCCTTCAATGAAAATGGAAACGCCCGAAGCTTGATCTGCTCCTCGGTTACTCCGGCGGGTTTCATTCCAGAACAGACGGTATGGAACTCCTTCAGGTGCATGTGAGGATCCTCACCTGAGAGGCCGTTGAATGACGGCAATAAGTGTATCAGGCCAGACTTAAGCTCGAAGGTGGCGTCATTCACAGTCGGAAATGTTATGCACAAAGGTTGTTGAAGAAGTCGGGGATTTGCTAGTTGCCTTAACGTACGTTCTTGCTCTTCCGCCATTGCTTCTTCCTCACTCGAAGAATCAGAATATTCAGCGTTGTCGGGCTCGCTGGAAGAATTATGGTAATCGGCAATCACCGGATAGTCTCGCTCTCGGTTTTCTTGCGATTCTTTTGCCAACCTTGCTAGTCTCCGATTCTCCTTATCCTTCCTTGTGATTTCTGGGTTGTATGTCAATGGTTTCTGTCCAGAAGACCTCGTGTTCATTCACCTGAAAGACAACTGAAATTATAAGTACCGAATGCAGCAAGATATGTCGAAAGAACCGAGTTTCACACCTATTCTGCACAGCGAGTATGGGGTCGGTATATTCTGTTACACAGAGTACTGGGGGACCCCGTACTACTGGGAGCAGAAAAATGAAAAGAAATAAAATGAAAGCAAGTAACAGGGGGGTTCAAACTGACTTAACTCCTAAACAAAACAAAAAAATAAAAATAAGAGAAAATTTATAAAAACTAAACCTAACTTCAATTAATAGAAAATAAATTAACAATTCAATTCCGTTACTCCCCGGCAACGGCGCCAAAATTTGACCGCGCGTCGCGACACGGTCAAAATATAATATTTATTTTCCTTAACCGACTTCTACCAACTAGTAGTAGTAGTGAGCAAGGGTCGAACCCACAGGGAGTGTGGAATTTAATTGTAATTATTCTCTTTAATTGAAATCATGAAAATATTAATAAAAGAAGGGGGTTTTGGTATGAATTAATTAACTACTAAAAATATGAATAATATAATGAAATCAAATGCAGCAAATAAAGATGATTATCAAATAAATGAGGAAATATCTAGTCCACGGTTCCGTCTACACCCTCGATTGACTCGTCTAATCAATTTTAGAATCAGATTTCGCTATCTCATGGAATTACTAGCCCTAGGTAACGACACGGTCTGTTACCCGGATTTTTTCTTATTTTTAATTTAACCGCGAGACGCTCGACGATTAAACCTGACTTCTTGTACAGTCCAGAAAAACGTTTTCAAGATTTAATACAATTAGCCGCTTTACGATTTAGAAAAATAGGCTAGACTAATTAGTGAACTCAACCGCGTTCGTTCACTTAATTAGGCCGTGTTATCCCCGGTAGTTACCATCTTCCGGTTACCTCTTATGAATTAAGCACAACAACAATTACGGATTGCAGGCCTAATTTAGATGTAGATATGAAAAGCCTAATCTAGGTGATCAATTTAAACAAGACTAACACATCATGGTTAATTATTCAAAATAACACAGGCAATTCCAAAAAGATATTGAATTCATCAACCATAAAAATCAATCAAAACATAGTCAATCGTAGGGTTCGATTTCCCCGGGACTAGATTAAAGAAACTACTCACTCATAGTGTTCAAAAACATATTCATAGAACTAATTACACAAGAAAAGAAAAAGAAAAGAAATTAAGAAATTCTTCTCTAATTCTCCAAAGCTTTTTGTTGCTGCTCTTGACTTGCGATCCTTTTCTCTGCCTCTGTTCCCAGCCGCAATGTCCAAAAAAGATGATAATGTCCCACGGTCCAAGAATGAATAATAATCTCTCCTTATCAAAACAAATTGATATATATCCTCTTTTCCCAATATCTCACGTCTCTATCCTTTAATTAATTCCTGGTCAACATAATCTTCCTAACTTAGGCCCACTTCAACTTTAATGCTCGCAGCCCAATTGGATTAATTCTCCTGCCATATACGTGAAATGCATGGGCCTATTGAGACAATATGGGCCGCTGATGGTCAGTACGGGGATAGCTGGGTCAGTACGGGACGACCCCGTACTCGCTGATAACACTACTTCGTCCTTCTTCCGAACATTCACACCTCTTCGTGCAACAAAAAATAGCTCCAAAAGTACTGAAAATCACTCAAAAATTCATCAAGGCACGAGAGTTGATAATAATGTCAAATAAGTCGAAAGATGCATAAATGTGGAGAATTAAACGTGCACAAATGCAACATTAGACCATTAATATAAGCACGATTTCCGACGAATCATTAACCAATAATGTATATTTCAGATTTATCCAAAGTTCCTGGTCCCCATGGGTCTGTCTTTGACAAGTCAAGTTTGATTGTTCATAGCTGGCGTCGGCCATCGCAGCAGCCAAGTGCCAACGCGCTGAAAAGGTTGTCTTCATTTTTTCATTTTACTTTTTATTATTTATTTAGCGGACNTTCTAATTGATTTAAATTTTATTAATTTTTAATTAGTATTTGTTGGTACCAATTTGATCAGACCAATAAAGGAGTGACATATGGCGAAATAAACAGAGGGCTAAAATACGCAAAAAATAAGCACACAAATGACAGATTTTCCGAGTTAATCCCCCAGATACCGACCAGGTATATTTTCGACCGACCAGGTCCACAGATGACAAACACGTCCACTTCCGAGCCGAGCAGAGCCTAAAGTAATCGACCGACCCTGATGTCGTAAAGAAGGAGTCTTCAACGAACATTATTATTATCGAGAAGATAGCCATCAATCGTGGCCGTCAGTCAAAGTCATTGGGCCCCACCGCAGTTTGTTAATGGTCGAAATGTAATCAACGGTATTAAATAGATAGATGATATAATTAATTTTATAATGAAGAAAAATATAATTATTTAGTTTTTTTATATATGCAAAATTAAATATGAAATTCAAACTTTTCAAATGATGGTTAATTTGATATATTGTATATGAAAAAATTAAATGATAACAAATACAATAGTTATTAACTTTTAAATATATTTATAATTTAAGTTAATCAAATATTTTATAATTTTAATAGTCGTATGGATAGAATCTAGATGTAGATAAGCCATTACGAAACATCATAAATTGACAAATAAATTATGAAAGTAAGAACATTCAACACATACTATTACGAAGTATAACAGAAGCGACGTATATGATCAGGACATTATACATTTATATATTCATATATAAGGGAATTTGAATTGGAGAGAAAGCCTTCTATGATATGACATCAATAAAATTAGTGGGGTTTCCTCAAGTCTTATTGTATTAATCAAAATATATTATACTATCATAAAGGATATTCAAATGGATTTACTCATTCTACGGGGGCTTACTTCCACATTATTAAAGAATCGGTTTCATGAAAATAATTAAGAGATTCGTGTTGATTTTCTAACCTAATCTCTCAATTAAATACTAGTTTGATAATTCGATTTCTTACTTCAGAGCGATTATTTTGGGATATACTGTAAGTAAGAAATCAGAGCATATGTACTTCGAAATTAGGTTAGTATGGCTATTGTTTGAAGTTGTTTCAATTGGATGGTTTCGTGATATGTGGTGATACGACCCAACCAAAATGGGAAAAACAATAATTTTCTTTGTCCAACAACTTAATTAGATGTTCATTTTATTTATTTATTTCGAAATATACCATGTCAACCTCAATAAAAAATATCATGGACACTTTCAACATTAACAACCACCAACCGACATTCCAATTTATTGCATATAACATATCATGAAATATCACAAACCCTTAATCAAAATATCATGAACACTTTGCAACATTAATAGCGACCAACAAACATTCCAATTTATTGCAATGAGAAAGCACAACACTAACTTATATAAATATATAAGTTCAAGTACGAGAAACACAACACTCACGCATTTATTCTTATAAATTCACTTTGCTCACGCGTGCAAGAGCCTTTTATTTCCACAATATCTTCAACCTCTTTAGCACCTCAAGTTAGCGCCTGGATCAACTCGGAGTTGATTACAATAATCTCTAAAGTAATTAACTCGGGCGGTGACCGTGTTTGGGTTTCCCCCATTGCATTCCATGCTATTAATGGCACGGATCGTGGACCCGAAGCCCTGGCCCGAGATTATCCGATTGTGGCAATTGTTCATCCAAAACCACAAAGCGGTCCTGAAAGATATAACGGGGTCTCTAGCCACAATGTCTGGGTTGTTCAGCCCGTCGAACCCGATGCTCCGGCCCGCCGGGCCGTAGTTGTAGTTCCACGACAGCTGTAACGGGCCACGTCCGTAGTAGCCCCTGCCTGGTGCGCATGGGTACTCCCGGTTATTTTCGTCGCAATAGTCCCGGGATGCGCCGCCTATCTCCTCTCTATAGCAAAAAACTGCATTTTTTTCGAAAATATGTGATCAAAGTTATTTTAATTTGTTGGATATACATAGTATATTGTTTGGTTAGTATTATAATTTGATGAAGCAAAAAATTCTTATATCAAACAGCCTGATCGTTAGGCTGGCCGACCTGTCATACTTTTGAATAAAAAATGTTTTTCTATACTATCAAATAATGTGATACTTTAAGAGAATACTATTTGGATATGAAATAAATATGTACCAAAACAATTTCAGATTTAAACCACATTAATCAATCTACCCAAAATGCCAACAATATATGTTTCATATCAATAGCTTATATGTATAATTTACAAGATTATACATTAACTATTTCACCAATTTTCTAATGAAATAAATAGGTTTTAGCCATCTCAACCCATGTATTTATCTAGGTCTTAACGATTTGAACTATAATCCTAGGATTGTTAATAACTAAATGACTTGTGTATCGTATACCAAAACACTATATCAACAGTCGTTGTAAGTTTGTTTTTCTATAAAAGGAGAACTTACACCCGGTCTCATGCGTAACATGCGCGAAAAAAGCGGCAACCTCGCGCCTAGCAACATCCGAGGCCCCCGTCCCGAACTGAGGGTACGACCTGGCTGCCTGTAGAAAAGCAGATCGGGTATAGAATCCTCTTCCGGGACAATTCGCCGCGGCACGATTAGCAATCCCGTTGAAAAAGGCATCGGTCACGATATTTGCGAGATTTCCTCCTCCTTGGGATGCGTAGCACGGCCCGGCCTGACACCCATCCCCGCAGTATGCGTCCCCTGTGCCGCAATAGCCGAACCGGCTACAGCACAGGTTGTTGGTACAACCGCAGTTCTGGGCCGAGGTCCATTGGGCCCCGGCGACCAGAAGAAAGGCCAAGGCAAGAAGCCCGTTAATTGGGGGAAGAGATTTTTTTGTAGTGAGAGAATTCATGTTGTGTGTTTGTGTGTGGGATTGCAATGGGAGGGATGATAGGATATTTATATTAGTATTTAGTGTGTTGGAGCCAAGTTTCAGCCATCGTCTTGTGTACTACGTTGGAAAAATTATTGTGCTAAAATAATTGACTCTGACTTTGTCAAAGGAAGTTTATTTATTTATTTATTTATTTATTTATTTTTTTTAGAGGGATAGGGTTACACGCGTGATAGATTCTTGTTAGGATATTGTGAGCGGTATTTTTATTTTCTTTGGGTTAATTAAAATAGGTATAATTGAATATGGTTCGCCAGTAGAATAATAATACATACATGCAAGTTGGACATAATACATGCAAGTTGGACATAATACTTTGATAGAGATAATTACCAATTTCGTCAAGTAGGCATGGCCCGTTGCAAAATTAGTCTTACTTGGTGGAAATTCAGTCTTTAACTTTTTTTCGTTACGAAAATAGTCCTAAAGCCGTTAACAGGGAATGTCACATGCAAGTCATGTGGTGGTTGGTCGTTAGGTCGAAAAATGAGGAAATTGCATTGACCGTGTTGCAAATTTAGTCCCAAATGTTGAAAAAACGGTTTTTCACTATTTTTGTTGCCATTTTTATTCCAATCTTTGATAGTAAAAATTAACTTTGAGACAAAAACAAATTTAATTATTATACAATGTTTTTTATATTTAATTTTTTTTAATTAAATAATAAACATATTTAAAAAAACAATTATTTAATTAGGAATATAGAACAGTAGAGGTTAATAAAATTTAAAAAATAAAAATAAAAATAAAAATAGTGTCAACTACTATTGTTTTGAAAACTGGGCCAAACTTGTTGTTAGATCAAGAATCGATCAAATATGAATCCTTGAACCAACTGGTTTCCAATTAATCGGTCAAAATTGGTTGATCGGACTGATCAATTATATATTTTTTTAGATAAGTTAATAACTACTTATATATTTTTTAATATAATAAAATTATAAATTAAATATATTTGATATATATAAAATCAAATATATTTAAAACTATATTATTATTATTATATTAAAAAAGTTTAATTACAACACAATGTTTAATATATTTCAAATATTTTCAATTAAAAATTATTTAGAAAATAATTATTTCAATTTATTATAATTATAATGGCTGATAAAAAAACAAAAAATATAACTGTAAATGTTAATAAATTTTTTTTTAAAAAAAAAATAATATCAACTACTATTATTTTGAAGACTGGGCTAAACTAACTGTTGAATCGAGAATCGATCAACTAAACGGTTGGATTCCTTTGAACGAACTAGTTTCCAACGAACCAGACAGAATTGGTTGATCGGACTTGTCAATTATATATTTTTTCTAAATAAGTTAGTAAATATTTATATATATTATGATATAACAAAAATATAAATTTAAATGTATGCATATATAAATTCAAATATTTAAAATTTATATTATTATTATTAAATTAGGAAAACTTAATTACAATACATTTTTTCTATATTTCAAATATTTTTATTTAAATAATAAATATATTTAGAAAATAAATATTTAATTTTATTATAATTATAGTGGTTGATAAAAAATAATTTTATCACAACTTATGTTATACATCCATATGTGGTTACCAACAAACTTTATATATAATTTCGATTAAATAAGGATATTGTGGTAATGCATATAATTATAAATCTATAAACAATTATTTATCTATGAGCTATCAAGATTAATATATGTAACATGCTTGATAAAAATAATTTATTCCATGCACGATATTATAGTTAAAGCATACAAATAATTCAAGCATATATGCGATTAGTTCGCATGAAAATATTATAGTAATAGTAAGTAAAAGTTCATTAAATTGACATGAAGTGGAAGATGGCAGGTTGGTGAGAGACGCAACTGAAAATTTATCCTTGCCAACCTTCTTGAGTTCAACCGCTGAGATTCAGTCATTTGTCGTTTCGATTCTTTNAAAACCTTCTTGAGTTCAATACCCACGCTCAGCGGTTTTTCTTTTTTTATGTCATCTTCAACCTCCAGCTGGGTCAAAACTCGACCCGGTTACAGACCCAGTCCGAAAAACAACATTATAAGCTTAATAAGAACAACAAATTTCATTCATGAAACATCTCATATATTCATGATAAATTATCAAATTCCAAAGAACTCCATGAACAAATCATATTCTTCAAAATTAATGTCACAACTTTCATGAAATATGAACTCATATTTGAAAACGTAAATATCACAAGCAAGGCAGAAATTAAACTCTCCTCTGATACCAAATGTATGAATATTTGTCCGATTTAATCATATATCGGTACAGCAGATTGATCGAGATTACATACCTCAAACCATTGCTTGTGTGTATTTAAGTTATTTGAAGAACATATAGAAAACAATACGGTGAAGGCTTGTGTGCACTTTTACTTTTGTTTTCTTCGGTCAAGATCTTTTGTATTTTCACTTTCTCTTTAGATGGTGTATGATTCACTACTAGTAGAGTGATGAGCCCAAGGACCTTTTAAAACCGATGTACCCTTTGGCATAAAGGTACCTTTTCGCCGTAGACACCTTTTGACAAATACCGTTTGAAGAAATTGTACGATATCTAGTTATTAATTATGTCCATCTCACACAATTAATATCAATAGTCCAAACTGTATAGATTAAGGAGATTAACAGTATTTATACTCCTTATAAATAAAAACATTTAAAATTATTTTGTTTATACATAATAAAAGATAATTGAGAAAATAATATACTAACAACATCAAAAGCGACCAACAAACATTCCAATTTATTTATACATTAATCACCACTTAACGAGAAAGCACAACACCAACTTATATCAATACATAAGTTCACGTACGAGAAACACAACACTCACGCATTTATTCTTATATTAAATATGCTGATCACGTACGCGTACAAGATCATTTTATTTCCACAACTTCAACCTCTTTAGCACCTCAAGTTAGCGCCCGGATCAACTCGGAGTTGATTACAATAGTCTCTAAAGTAATTAACTCGGGCGCTGACCGCGTTCGGGTTTCTCCCATTGCACTCCATGCTATTAATGGCACGAATCGTGGACCCGAAGCCCTGGCCCGAAGTGATCCGATTGTGGCAGTTGTTCATCCAAAACCACAAAGCGGTCCTGAAAGATATAACGGGGTCTCTAGCCACAATGTCTGGGTTGTTCAGCCCGTCGAACCCGATGCTCCGGCCCGCCGGGCCGTAGTTGTAGTTCCACGACAGCTGTAACGGGCCACGTCCGTAGTAGCCCCTGCCTGGTGCGCATGGGTACTCCCGGTTATTTTCGTCGCAATAGTCCCGGGATGCGCCGCCTATCTCCTCTCTATAGCAAAAAACTGCGTTTTTTTTCGAAAATATGTGATCAAAGTTATTTTAATTTGTTGGATATACATTGTATATTGTTTGGTTAGTATTATAATTTGATGAAGCACAAATTCTTATATCAAACAGCCTGATTGTTAGGCTGGCCGACCTGTCATACTTTTGAATAAAAAATGTTTTTCTATACTATCAAATAATGTGATACTTTAAGCGAATACTATTTGGATATGAAATAAATATGTACCAAAACAATTTCAGATTTAAACCACATTAATCAATCTACCCAAAATGCCAACAATGTATGTTTCATATCAATAGCTTATATGTATAATTTACAAGATTATACATTAACTATTTCACCAATTTTCTAATGAAATAAATAGGTTTTAGCCATCTCAACCCATGTATTTATCTATGTCTTAATGATTTGAACTATAATCCTAGGATCGTTAATAACTAAATGACTTGTGTATCGTATACCAAAACACTATATCAACAGTCGTCGTAAGTTTGTTTTTCTTTAAAAGGAGAACTTACACCCGGTCTCATGCGTAACATGTGCGAAAAACGCGGCAACCTCGCGCCTAGCAACATCCGAGGCCCCTGTCCCGAACTGAGGGTATGACCTGGCCGCCTGCAGAAAAGCAGATCGGGTGTAGAACCCTCTCCCAGGACAATTCGCCGGGGCCCGATTAACGATTCTGTTGAAAAAGGCATCGGTCACGATATTCGCAAGATTTCCCCCTCCTTGGGAACCGTAGCACGGGCCGGCCTGGCACCCGGCGCCGCAGTACGCGTCCCCTGTGCCGCAATAGCCCCAACGGCTGCAGCAGAGGTTGTTGGTACAACCGCAGTTCTGGGCCGAGGCCCATTGAGCCCCGGCAACCAGAAGGAGGGCCAAGGCAAGAAGCCCGCTAATTGGGGGAAGAGATTTTTTTGTAGTGAGGAAATTCATGTTGTGTGTTTGTGTGTGGGATTGCAAGGGGAGGGATGATAGGATATTTATAGTGTGTTGAAAGCCAAGTTGCACCCATCGTCTAGTGGACTACGTTGGAAGAATTATTCAGCTAAATGTATAATTGACTCTGACTTTGTCAATGGAAAATTTTTTATGATAATCCGGAAATTGAGTTTAGTGCGCTGCTTTCATTTTCT